TTTTGGAGGCTGCAGAACTGTTTACCTCGACGGCAACAAAGGTACACAGGGTAGACAATGGAACGACTAACTGGCATTTACCTTACGGTATTCAACTGGAAACTTATCTCTTTCTAGAAGTCAGTAATCTGCAAACATGGCTGTGTGAGCGGTTTCTTATGGGAATCATTTCACAGTGCAGATGAAATTATTCATTGACCCATGTCAAGAGTTACAAGAGGCTGGTGTCGCAAACAGGATTTATGATCAGCGGTGTACCCTCATTTATAATCTTACCTGTCTGAGTGCTTCCTAGAAAGAAAGTCATAGCAATATAAAACTGCTGACAAGGAGAATCGTTTTTTAATTTCTGAAAAAAGACATTGCTTTTTAAATTTAATTGAGGAGCTGTCATGACACACTAAGGTCAGATATGAAGTTCCACTGGGTTCAGTGCTCGAACCAATTCTTTTTACATTTTATGTGCTTCCCTCGGACAGTATCACTCAACATGCATTTTGATTGCTGTGCACATGATACCCAGCTCCATTTATCCATGCAGCCAGATAACACATAACAATTAGTCGAACTGCAGGAATGTCTTAAAGACATAAAGACCTGCATGACTTCTAATTTCCTTCTTCTAAATTCAGATAAAACTGACATAATTGTACTTGGCCCAAAAATCTCATAATATGACGGCTATTAGAATTTGGTGCTATATAAGTAAAACTGAATTGACTTTTTCAAATTTGTTTTTTGGCATTTTGAGTTCCTTAACACCTCTCTCTCTCTCTTTCTGTCTCTCTCTCTCACTCACTAGATGACTTAATATTGTTGCGAGAGAGCCACATATGTCTTTCCCTTCACTTGTAACCAAGAAAGGAAAGCGAAGGAGAAAGCTGGCAGAAGATCTCTGCTTTTTGTTGTTTTCTTCTCCATATGGAAAGGAATCTCTGATTTTATGTGTGTAGATAAACACATAAGTTCTTATCTTTTCATTGTATCTTTAATGTCTGTAAGCAAGATGGGCAGACTGTGATCATAAAGGGATAGGCAAGGTCAGCAACAAAGTTTAGGTAGGCTGCGGTGTTTAAAACATGCTCAGTAAGACAGGATGGATCCATGCTTTCATGTTCACGCCAAAGTCTGTATCAACCATCAGAATGTTGCAGCAGGAATCGAGACTCGTCCAGCAAGCAAGTTTTTCTAATGTGTTGCCTTTTTTCCCCCAATTCTGGTGAGTCTGAACTGGAGCCTCAGCTTCCTGTTCGTCTTTAATGTCCCTTTGTATCTAAAGAAGTTGAAAAAGAATCTATTATTTTGCAGGCTTCTGCTGATTGGAAGGAGTCATCTATAAACATCAGTTCCTCATCATCTTTTCACATGTTTGATTTGGTTGAAAGTTTATAACTCTTCACTAATTTTGAAGCCTGTGATTTTTATTTTTGATAACTGAAGCAGTTGTTACTGGAAGCATGTATAGGGAGAGGTGCTGCTGTGATGTTTGCATAGTTTTGCAGGTTCTGAGAGGCATGCTCTCCATTTGACATAAGGCTACATGTGAACTGGTTGTGTTAATGTACGGCAAACCCCTTCCCCATCTCAGTGGTTTACAAACTTTTTTTTGCCATATACAACAGCAGAGGTTATAGACTAAGAAGCTATGATCAGTTCCTGTCATCAGTTACACTATGTCAGCTAAACAAAGCTTTCAGCAGTGATTAAAGTGCACAAATGAAAACAGAAGACTTTCAAACAAACGTTTTCATAGTGTAGATTAATAGTGTTGTTAATCGATTTTTTAATAGTTTTGTCACTGATGTGCAGAGAGGATAAAACAACACATGTACTGATTTTGATATGTTGGTGTCACAGTCACGCCAACATGATGAATAAGTGTTTTCAGTTTACAACATTTACAGGCTATCTAGAGCTTTTTACTCATCTGTATCTAGATTTTACTCACAGCATTCAAAGTTGGGAATTCTTGATTACTTAAAGACTAATGATAACCTTGTTTTATGTTTCGCTAGCTCATTAGTGATGATCTCTGTCTCTGGCTGCAGTGTTAGCTTTACGTTGTCATTTCTGAAAAATGCAACAAAAACTCTCTGTCTCTCTGTGTCTTCAGAAACAGCATATATCTTACACATGGTCTCTGTCTCTGGTTGTAGCGTTAGCTTCACGGCACAGTCCAGTGTACATATTTTGGCCTGCAGTGTTGTTTATCTATCATGTCATTATTTACTCAGTTTTGGAAATTTTTGAAAAGTTTTGGAGGCTGCAGAACTGTTTACCTCGACGGCAACAAAGGTACACAGGGTAGACAATGGAATGACTAATGCATTTGCTTTATGGTAACTGGAAAGTTATCATATGTCTTTCTAGAAGTCAGGAACCCACAAATGTGGCTGTGTGAGCTGTTTCGTGTGGGAATCGTTTCCTCGTTTACTGAAAAAAGTGATGCAGATGAAATTTTTTATTGACCCATGTCAAGAGTTACAAGAGGCTAGTGCCGCTGACAGCATTTACGATCAGTAGTGTCCCTTGAGTTGTAATGTTATCTGTCTGCATGCTTTTTTTTGTTCAGTGGATGTACAGCAGTTTGGTAGAAGACAACTCCCTTTACAGGTGCTGATAACGCCAAGGACACAAAACATTGTGTCCTTGGCCCATTGCTCCGTTAGGTTTCATAGCGAGGCGCGTGATGTGTGGTATGATCAGTTTGTAACTTCCTCCCTCTTCCTTGGAATGGAATAAAGGAGTGTGCTCATTACTTAGACCTGAGATGTTTTGATGTGTGTGTGTTTGCTCTCCTGCATGCATGCAGTAATAAAATAGCTTGACCACAGCTGAACATACTGCAGACCTTTCTTTTTTTTACAGAAAATTCCACAACACATCCCCGTTGTACCTGTCAGTTGTTACAGAAATAAGGTTTATAGCATGAATGTTTAAAGCTAGAGAAAAATTGAGAATGTAGCGGTTGGCATACTCTCACTCGCTCTCACTAGATGACCAATTATTATTGCAAGAGAGACATCCACCCCCTCACCAGAGGATTATATATTGAGAGAGAAAGACATACACACCCCTGTCTCCTCAGTTGTTGTCAACAAGGCAGAAGGAAGAGTGCTGGTAGGGGATTGCTGCTTTTTGTTGTTCTCTTTTCTATATCTGAAATTAATCCCTTATTTTATTTGTGCAGATAAACACATAAGTTCTCTTTTTTTTTTTGTAAGGTCCAAGTTATTGTGAAATTCCTGTGGGAATTTGTGATGGCTTTATGCTGGCTGTGTGAGCTTGGGTTGTTAATTTTTGGTTTGGAAATTGTGACTGACTTCAGATTCTCTGTATTTTGGTTTAATGTTCTTTATTTATGTCATGATTTTACTATGGGGCTGTCTGCAAAGAGGGAAAGACAGAGTTAGTACTGGCAGATGGTGGGAATTGGGAAACAGAGTTCAATGAAACTGAGTTCATATTTTTGATTTGGTGGTTTGCAGTATTGAGGTAACAGGGGAGAGTGTCAGAGGGCATCCTGGGTTCTACATGTCACTTAAACTTAGTTTCAGGGGATCTAGCTTAACTAGCATTGGAGTGGAGCTGAAATTCTAGTCTAAGACTGTCTAGCCTCTGACTGTACCCCTCTGACTGTACCCCTCTGACTGTACCCTTTGCTCTTCCTTTTGCCTTCAGAACTGTTTAATTATTTGGGACATAGATTCAACAATTTTCTGGAAATGTCCCTCAGAGAGGGAACTTTTTTGTTGTCAGGTATTTTCAATAACAGTAAAACGTTGGTTCCAAAGTTATGAGTGATAAATGTTGCTGTCTTATTTGTGTGGAGTGTCCAATTTAAACTTGGTCAGGTGGTGTTTCTCTTTGTCTTAATCTTATTCTATGTGTCACACAGGAAACATTGCATTGAAGAAGTGAATATGATTGTTGTCCAACTCATCATACTTTTTTTGATTTTTAACCAACATGTTGCTGGTTTGACATGCAAAACAGGTAAAGTGTGCCTTTTATCATTTTACTCACTCTGTATAATGCTTTAAAATCAGTTTTTCACTTTTTAAATTTTATTTTGAAAGTATAGTAATTACTGTAATTAAACTGTGTCCTTTCTTTGAACACTGTGAAATCCTTGAAGGCGAAAAAGTATCCCGTAATGGAAATGGATGTGAACCCTGCAAACCAGGCTCTTATCAGGATCATGAAAATACTTCAAAATCTTGTAAAGCATGTAGAACGTGTGACACTAGTAAGTGCTGAAGCTTTTGTAACTTATTAGAAAAACAACTGCTATGTGAGCAGCTGATGATAAACCTGCTCTGTTAGTGGAGACCAAACATGTAGTTCACACTCAAATGACGACATCAGGATTAAGAACATTCTTTGTTTATTTATTTATTGCAGGTCATGGTAGTGACATTAAAGAGCTCTGTACCAGATTCACAAACACAAGATGTGCGTGCCGTGAAGACTTTGTTCCATGGGACAGTGATTCTTCCAACTGCAAATGTGCTGAGGGATTTAAACGAATAGGAGGTACAAGACTGGATCATAATATTGGATCATTTACCATACACACTAAAGAAAATGTCTTTTTAAATCATCAATTCTTTTTTTCCTGCTAGGAGAATGTAAACGATGTGAAGAAGGATTTTTCATCACATCTCAAAACTCAGACTGTAAAAAATGGAAAGAGTACGTATTCTAGTGTTTTTAGTACTTTTATGATATATGATTAAAACAAATTTTCAACAGGGTCTGGACGTGACGCTTGTTGTTAACAGCTTTGTCATTTATCTTTCATTCTAGATGTAAATCAGGAGTGAAAATCAGTGGAACTGCATCGTCAGATGTTATCTGTAATGAGCCAAACAGTGATACTTACAGCACTACACTTCCCACATCAAACACAATTACTACTCTCCGAGGTTTAATAACTCAACGTCCACAGTGGGAGGCCCAAACTCAGGAAATGGATACTAGATCTGTTAGCTCTCCTCCACAAGTAGCCACTTCTATAACAAAATCCAAATTATTTTGGCACAGCCTTCATTTTCCATTGTTTCTGAGATGAAGGCACAGATTTTTTTTTTTTTTTTTAAAAAAAGCTATGTAAACTGTAGCTGACTTTTTTTGTCTTACCAGGTATGGCTCATTATCTTGGAATTTCAAATTTGTAATCTTTAAAAGGCTTTTGTCACTCTGACAATCAGGGAGGAAGGAAATGGAATACTTATAACTGGAATTTGTCCCAAATTTGTTTACATGAGCAATCCACGTAAGGATAACTTAGATGTCTACAGCACTCATATTCATTACATGTATACAATTGCCACTACTGCTACTGTGGTATTATCTGTATCACCAAAACATTATTTGCTATTAATGCGCCTGCAGCAACACAACTCTGAAGTTGGGCAAAAGATGTGCTCTAGGTTGCGGCTGCGTTATATATGGGAAGTGCTGATTGGCCCAAGTGCAGCTCTTTCATCAGTGGCAATTATATGTAATTAACTTTTAATGTTGTGCATTTTCTTTGATTTATAAATTGTCAATTTGCTTAGTCTTCTTCTTCTTTTTGCCTGTCCTGTACGGCATTGTAGCAATCAGAATTACTGTCTGAAGGTCAAGAAAAATGCCCAAGAGATTTATTTTTCCAAGTGGACCATTACAGCTTTTGCAATTCTGGTTCAATTGATTGTCATAGTTTATTTGATCTTTATTATTATTATTTTGATTTAAGTTATTACAATCAGAATGGACAGGACAGAGAAAGAAGAAGGAAAGAGAAGTTCGGAAGAGAGTTAACAGACTGAGAGGGAAAGAAAAATAGAGGAGAAGAAGGAAGCAGATTGAAAAAAAAAACAAGCAAAAATAAAACAGCACAGTAAGGAAACCACAGCAATAACCAATATGGGCATGAGTAACAGCAATTAATAAAAATGTAATGTTAACTGTACAATACATGATATGTTTAGAGGCAGCAGCCAAGCGAGATAGCGAGATAGTGTGTGTCTGTAAGTTGTTTGTACACCTGTATGAACCTGTATGAACACTTATGTGTAAAACCTGTGTGTGTGAGCACATTCATAAGATTTCTCCATGTAAGTGTCTAATACCCACATGACTTCTGGCATGGTAAGTGGTATGTCATCCAGACATGGGCCAGGCCGGATATAGATGGCACTGTTTATGTGATGGCATGCCATATCTGGCCAGATTGTGGTTTGGTTTATGTGGCCCAGGTTCATAGAAAACAGGTCTGGCCCGGATCTGGCATCAAGCTTGCACTTCTGACTGACCGGTGTCATGGCAGGGTGTATGTCAACCCGACGTGGGCAAGGCTTGGCAATGATGGCACATGTTGTTATTACATGGCTTGATTAAGGTACACATTAGGCTGACATTTGGGGCAAGAGCTGAAACTATTCTGGTCCAGCACAGGGTCAGCAGTGTGTTTGCAACTGGCCCGTGGCTGCACACAGCTTACACATGGCCCACATACCGCAAAGAGTGTTGGTGGACCAGATCAGGTTTGCCAGAGGTACTCCACGCATGGGCCAGCACAGGACCACCAGTGTGCCTGCAACTGGCCTTGTGCTGGGCCATGTGTGTGCCACCTCTGGCAAACCTGATCTGGGCCACCAAAGGGCCGTCATTCTTTGCGGTATGTGGGCCATGTGTAAGCACATTTGTGGGCCAGATCCAGGCCATACAAATTTTGCTATGTGGGTAGTGGGTGCTAGGAGCCATAGCCCTGCCCCCCAGGACATGAAGCAGGGATGGAGGAGCTCCGGGCCACGAGCAAGGATTACCACCAGAGGGGCAGTCACGTCAGCCACCTAGAAAAGAGCTGAGGAGTGCCTCGGATGGGGGTCACCCAGCAGCCAAGGTGCAGAAGTCACAGGGCCTGCAGCACTGAGCCTGCAGGCTCCACTGGCAGCCAGCTGCACCAGATCAGACTGAGCCCTGGGCCCAGAGACCCAGGATCCAAGGGCCCTTCACACCCTAGAAGGGGCCCAACAGAGCCAGGAGGGCCAGTGTGCACCAAGCAGCCACAGGAGTGAGCCAGTATATACAAACAGGCACATACAAATACAAACATGCACACACATTCCCCCCCTCATGCGCACATGCACAAATACTCAGTACTCACCTGACATGGAGACACACAGAAGTGAACCCAGTACACACACTCACACTCCCCATACATACTCTATACTCCCAGGTCCAGGCACCACAATAGAGAACGGGGGTGTGTGAAGACCCCATACCTCACTCTACCTGCTCATATGTGGTGTTGATGCGTGCTGTTCTAAAATGCATTTAAAACAGGGGAGGGGCATGGGGCCGTTTGAAGTGAAGTGTTGCTTTGTTTACTTGCTGTTGGTTAATTTGCTAGTATTTGTGTTCCTGTCATGTGTCCACCTGGTCTTAAGATGGAGATATTTTAAGTTGCTGTTTTTATTTGTGTTTAGTTCTAGTCATTTGACCTCTTTTATGGGCACTGTATTGCTAGTTTATTTAGTATAACTTTGCATTTTTAGGGGTAAATAAAGACCACTTTTTTCTAAATACTAAGTGTGTCCTCGTGCTTAACCAGCTCAGTTCCTCACACACTATGTCAACTATACAAAGCTTTGAGCAATTATAAAAGTGCACAAATGAAAGCAGAGTTTTAAGAGTTTCAACAAACAGCAATAGCGTTCATTTTGTCGCCGATGTGCAGAGAGGACAAAACAACTGTAAACTGATTTTGTTATTTTGGGGTTCATAGTCACACCAAACATGATGACTATTTTCAGTTTACAACATTTACAGGCAATCTAGAGGTTTTTACTCATGTATCTAGATTTTACTCAATATTCAGAGTTGAGAATTCTTGATTACTCAAAGATGTACGATAACTGTTTCGTTTTTTTGAAACTGAGGCTGAAAATTCTGCACAAAGGTAGCTTATACATGATAATCTTCATATCTGGTTGCAGTGTTAGCTTTGTCTCTTCTGCAAAATTCAACATATACTCTCTGCCGTGTCTTCAGAAACAGCAAATTCCACATATGTTTCATCTTAAGAGAGAATTCAGTAGGAAGTGTGTTTAAGGGACACTTCACAGCACAATCAGTGCACATATTTTTCCACTGCTTTGTAGGCTATTTATCTATCTAAGGTTATTTCATCATTATTTACTCAGTTTTGGAGATTGACGCTGCAGAACTGTTTACCTTGAGAGCAACAAAGGTACAAAGTGTAGATAATGGAACAACTAACTGGCATTTCCTTATGGTATTCAACTGGAAACTTATCGCTTTCTAGAAGTCAATAATCTACAAACGTGGCTGTGTGAGCTGTTTCAGGTAGGAATCATTTAGTCTTTCATGATGCAAATGCATCATGATCATGCAAATTGTTCATTGACCCATGTCAAGAGTTACAAGAGGCAAGTGCCACTGACAGGATTTACAATCATTGGTGTACCCTGAGTTGTACTGTTACCTGTATGAGTGCTTTCTTTGTTCAATGGATGTAGAGCATTTTGGTAAAAAAAAAAAAAAGAAAGTCATAGCAATATAAAACAGCTCACAGGGGAAAAAAAATTTGATCCCTGAAAAGAGACATTGCTTTTTAATTTTAATTTGGGCGTTGTCTTCACACACTGAGGTCAAATTTGAAGTTGCACTGGGTTCAGTGCTTGAACCAATTCTTTTTACATTTTACGTGCTTCTCTCGGACAGTATCATTCAACATACATTTTGATTGCTATGCACATGATACCCAGCTCCATCTATCCATGAAGCCAGAAAACACATAACAATTAGTCAAACTGCATGAATGTCTTGAAGACATAAAGACCTGCATGACTTCTAATTTCCTTCTTCTAAATTCAGATGAATCTGACGTTATTGCACTTGGCCCAAAAATCTCAATTAGGATTTGGTGCTGTATAAGTAAAATTGAAATTTGACTTTTTCAGTTTTGTTTTTTTGGCACTTTGA